CATGTCCCCCCCCGTGTCCCCCCGTCCTCACGCTCGCTCTCGTGGGCCGGGTTGCTGAACAGCACTAGCCCGTGGCGAGCGAGAGCCCCGGCGGCCACCGCGGGGTCGGGCAGGGCGGGGTCCAAGGTGACAGCGCTGGGGGGCAGCGTCTCCCCCCCGTCCCAGCTCCGGGCCAGCATCCGGCAGCGGCAGCGGTACTGGTTCTGGTTCCGGATACTCACGGCAATGGAACCGTCGGGCAGCTCGTAGGGCTGGGGAGGGGGCGACGAGAATGGGGGGGGGGGGGGGGACCCGGGTCAGAACTGGAGACCCCCAGAAATGGGGAAGGGGGAGCCCGGGGACCCCCCGAGCCCACCTGGCACTCGTCGGGGGTGAAGTCGTGGGGTCTCCGGGGGGCTCCGAAGGGGATGGCGGGCAGGACCCCCCCCAGGTGCCAGCTCCGGCCGCCATCGTCGCTGAGCAGCAGCGAGACCCCGTCCCGCTCCAGCGTCCCGTGCCCGCAGAACACGAGGCGGCCCCGGAACGGCGCCCGCTGCTTCTGGGGAGGGGGCGACACCGGGGGGGGGGGGGCGCTCAGACCCCTCCCGAACCCCCAAACCCGCCCCGAACCCCCCAAACTCGCCCCGTACCTGGATCCCCGAGCCCGGCCCGGGGGCGAACACCTCGCCCCCCACGATGGAGGAAAGGTTTTGGGGGGGTCCCCAGGAGCGGCCCCCGTCGGGGGAGCGCAGCAGGAGGGTGCTGGGGGGCCCGCAGGCCTGCGGGGGGTGCGCGCAGCGGGCGAACAGCAGCAGGATCTCCTCGCCCCCGGCCACCACCAGAGCGCCCAGGTTGAGCCCGTCCCCCTCCCAGCCGTCATCGGCCACCACCTGCGTGGGGCCCCAGGTGGCACCTGGAGAGGGGGGGGGGACACACATGGGGGGAGCCTCTGACAGGTGACCCCCACCCCCCAAATTTGGGATACCCCCCCCAAAGCCACCCCGGGGCCACCGGGGACCCCCCCCCAAATCCCCCCAGGCCCCCTCCCCCGTCAGGGGAGCGGCAGCAGGGGATGATTTTGGTGGCCCTCAGAGCTCCCCCAGTTGCCCACAGCCCCCCGAGGCCCCATCCCCATCCCCACAGCTGCCAATGACTTTGGTGGCCCCTCAGTCGCCCCCGGCTCCCTCCCCATCCCCACAACTGACGTTGACTTTGGTGACCCCCAGACCCTCCTCATTGGCCCCCTGGCCCCTCCCCATCCCCACGGCTGTCAATGACTTTGGTGGCCCCCAGAGCCCCCCCAGTGGCCCCCTGGCCCCCTCCCCAGCCCCACCTCCGTCGGGGGAGCGGCGGCACGCGATGATTTTGGCCCCCACGTCGGCGGCCGAGAGTTTGCGGCCCTCGGCGCAGGCGAGCAGGGCCCCCCCGGCGGTGGCGGCCAGGAGGGGCACCCGGAAGGTGTGAACCCCCCCCCGGCCCTCCCCGCTCACCCACAGCACCTGCTCCCGCACAACCTGGGGGTGCACCTGCAGGGGGGACACGGCTCAGGTGGGGGCACGGCTCAGGTGGGGGCACGGCTCAGGTGGGCGCTGGGGGGGAATGGAGAGCGGGGCTGGGGGGAGTTTGGGGGGAATTTGGGGGTCGGGGGCATTGGGGGATCCCTTGGGGGTGTCCCTGCGGATCCCCGGGGGTTGTCACCGGTTTGGGCCTGGGAGTGGGAGGGGCCCTAACGGAAGCCCGGAGGCAGTTCCGGGCCCGGGGGGATGGCGGGGCGGGGATGACCCGCGGGGTCCTGGCCCCGGTACCGTGTCGGGGGTCGCGACCCATCGCGCGGCGGCGCCGGTAACGATCAGCAGCAGCGGCAGCGGCGGCGGCAGCGCCGCGACCATCGCGGCCCCTTTAAGCGGCACCGGAAGCGCCGCGCGCTGAGCGTTACCGGAAGGGGGCGGGGCCTGGGCTTAAAGCGGCAACGGCGGGAAACGGAGCGGCCTTAAAGCGGCAACGCCAGAGCGGGGTGGGGTCCGCGGGTTAACGAGTTTTTTCGGGTTTTTTTGAAAACGAGCGATTTTATTGTTTTCATTTTTTATTGCACTTGGCTTCGCCCCCCAAAAACGCGGGGACACCCCCGGCCTGCGGGGGGCGGGGCTGAACGCGGAGAGGGTGGGGCTGAGGCAGGGAAGTTTAAATGGCTCCGCCTTAGCCCCACCCCAAACGGGCGTGGTTACAAATCGACCACGCCCCCTCGGTCCCAAAAATTCGGGGGGAAAATCCTCGGGAAGGGAAAGGTCCGGTCAGGACTCGGCCAAACGCAGCAGAGGGCCCGCGGCGGTGGGGACACTGCGGGGCCAGAGGGGTCGGGGGTCACTCGGGGTCAGTGAGTGGTCACTCAGGGGTCACTCATTGGTCACTGAGTGGTCACTCAGGGTCACTCCTCACCTCTGCAGCTGCTCTGCCCCCAGCAGGTCGTGCAGCAGGAACGGGACCCCCAGCCGGGCGCCCGGGGGGGTTTTCCCCCCCTGCAGATCCCGCAGGGGAACCTCGCGGTGCCGGGAGCGGCGCACCAGGGCCAGCAGGGCCCGCCGGCCTGGGGACAGCGGGGTCACCACGGGGTCACACGGGGTCTGGGGGGGGTCACCCGGGGTCTGGGGGGGTCACACGGGGTCTGGGGGTCCCCCCCGGGCCGGGGGTCCGCACTCACCGCGCAGCAGAGCCCGCACGAAGCGCCCGACCCCCGGCACCGCCAGCCACCAGCTCCCGGCGTCACGCACCGTCAGCAGCCCCGCGGCCACCAACTGCCTGCGGGGACACCCCCGGGGGACCCGGGCACAAATCAAGGGGGGCTGCAGCCCCTGGGGATACCCCAGTAGCAGCTCAGGGGTGGGGGCAGCACCCCGGGACCCCAAATTCACACCAGCGAGTCCCCAGCACCCTCAGGGTCCCCCCCAGTCCCATCCCAGGTGTCTCCAGTCCCATCCTGGGCTCTCCAATCGCATCCGGGACGTCCCAAGCCCCACTCAGGGACCTTCCACTCTCATCCTGGGTGTCCTCAGCCCCCTCAGGGATCCCCCAGTCCCACCCTACGATGTCCCCGTGTCCCCGTACGTCACATCCCGGTCCCCAAAGCCGAGCTCCCTCATCCGGCCCTGCTCGAAGCTCAGCTCGGGGCTCGCCGCCACGGCCGTGTCCAAGAATCGCTGCACCAGCCCCTCCCGGGGGGTTCCAGCCACGGCCGCCAGCGCCTGCGGGCACGGGGAGGGGTCACCGGGAGGGTCCCGCACCCCCTGCCCGAGCCCACCCCCCCCACCCCCGAGCCGCCCCCAGTACCTTCTCCCGGTACAGCTCCAGGCTGACGACCCCCAGCGCGTCGGAGCCCAGCCCCAGGTGCAGCAGCCGGACGCGCCCCTCATCCCGGAGCCGGTTCTGGGGAGGAGCGCGGGGTCAGCGCGGGTCCCGGGGGGTTTCCGGGGGGTTTCCGGGGGGTCCCGGTCCCGCGGCGCTCACCAGGTGCCGGTCCACGGCCGTCCGGTCCCGCACCACGTCGTAGAGCTGATGGCGGAGCACGAGCGGCGGCAGCGCGTCCCCGAAGAGGCGGCGGGGGAAGAGCGCGGTCACGGCCCGGAGAGCGGCCTCCACCGCCGCGGGGCTGCCTGGGGGCGGCGGGGCGGCGTGGGACCCCCGGGACCACCCCAAGACCCCCTCCAAAACCCCGGGACCCCCCTCCAAAATCCCGGGACCCCCTCCAAAACCCCGGGATCCCTCCAAAACCCCGGGATCCCCCCAAAACCCCGGGATCCCCCCAAAACCCCGGGCACCCTCCCGGCTCTCCCCGCCCTCAGGGTCTCCCGGTGTCCCCGGTACCGTCGGGGCGCGGTCCCTCCCCCGGCAGCTCCGGGCGGCGCCGCTTGGCCGCGAGGGCGCTCTCGGTGTCCCCGAGGCGGCGGCGGCGGCTCATGAGGGGCTGAGGGATGGGGGGGGGGAACTCGGGGGGCTCCGCGCCCCGGAAAGGAACCGGCGCCGCCTAAAGTTGGCGCGGGGTGATGGCGTCACTGCGGCGCGACGCTGCGCCTTCTGGTGACGTCACAGGTCGGCGCATGGTGATGACTCACGGGGGTAAGGGGGGGGGGCGAAGCATTTAGGGCAAAAGGAAGGGGGGGGGCTCTGAGGACCAAAACCACGTGAACAACGAGGGATGGAACGAACCACAATGAGCCAATGGGGGGGAAGGAACCGCGTCTAACCAATCGGATGAATGGACTAAACCACGTGGGAAACCCGGGGGGGGGGGGGGCGGGCTAGAACGAACCACAGTGAGCAAACGGCGGGGAGGGCGAAAAAGGTTCAAGCAAACAGGTGAATGGACTGAACCACGCGAGATCAGAGAGGGGGAGGATCAGACTGAACCACACGGGCTCCAGGGGTGTCCCGGAGTCCCTTTATTGCGTGTACAGGCTGGCGGCGAAGACGATGTCGCGCTTGATCATGGCGGCGGCCGCCTCCATCTTGGCGGCCAGCGCGGGGTCGCCCACGACGCGCGCGGCCTGGCGCAGCTCCCGCAGCAGCTCCTCCAGCCGCTGGATCGCCCGAACCACCGAGCCCTCCTGCACCGGCGCCAGCCGCGCAATGTCCGCGAACGGCTGCGGGACAACGGGGACAGCGGCGGGGTTGGGGGACACTGGGGGGATTGGGGACACTGGGGGACATTGGGGACATTGGGGGGATTGGGGACACTGGGGGACATTTGAGGATATTGGGGACATTGGGAACTGGGGGATTGGGGACATTGGGGGGATTGGGGACATTGGAGACATTTGGGGATATTTGGGCCATTGGGGGGATTTGGGGGTCCCAGGGATTTTTTTGGGGGGTCCCGGGGGGTTCTGGGGGGTCTCACCATGCCCCTGGCCCACTCGTAGACCACCTGGACCAGGCTGAAGCCGAACTGGGCCACGAAGTCGTCGGGGCCGGGCCCGAGGCCGTGCTGCTGCTCCAGGCGTCCCACGCGGGCAGCGACGGCCTGGAGGCGCTCCAGGGCCTGGGGGGGCTCGTCAGG